TGGGCCCTTGGGTCCCTTCCCCCTCAGCCCCTGGGTCCCTTCCCCCTCAGCCCCTGGGTCCCTTCCCCCTGAGCTCCTGGGTCCCTTCTCCCTGAGCCCCTGGGTCCCTTCCCCCTGAGCCCTCTCCTACTCCCTCCCACTGACTGGGCATCTCTCCTCCTGCCTTCTTTCCAGCTGACCAGATACAGTTCCAGTCCCACTCCTGACCATTTTAGCCGTACCTCTTCACCCCGGAAGGTGGCAGACAGTGGGGATGCCACCTATACCCGCTCAGAGAACTCCCCTGCCTTGCTCCCATACAGTCCCCTGTCACCCAAAGGGCGTCCATCCTCTCCCCGCACTCCTGTCTATCTGTCTTCAGAGTCATACTCATCGCTGGAACGGGCCCCCTCCCCACGGCCCAAAACTATGACCTATGAGGCTGTGGTTGGCTCACTGGGCCGGGCCCCATCCCCTAGGCCTGGCTCCGGCCCCCTCCGCCCTACAGGTCCCCCCCCACAATATGACTTCCTAGTGGGTGGACGGGCTGGCTCTCCCCGGGGTGATGGCCCTCAGGCTTTCTTCCCTGACCACCGAGGACCTTCGCCCCGTCTGGGCCTGCCTGCCAATTATGAGGGCTCTGCCCTCTTTGGGAGTCCACCCCCAGGTGCTGGGGGCAGTGCCTTTGCGCCGCTTCGGGCACAAGGTAAGAGAGTGGAGGAAGCAGATGGAGGTATATACAATTGGGAGGGGGCTGTGGATGTGGGTGCAGGTGCCTTGGAACAGTTATGGCCCCAGAGAAGTGGGAGATGGGGGGTAGATCCCTGCAGAAGAAGGGACAGAACCTTGTGGGACATGGATTAAACTCTCCCTGCCTCCCATAGATGACCTGACACTCCGCCGGCGTCCCCCTAAGAGCTGGAATGAGTCAGACTTGGATGTGGCCTATGAGAAGAAGTCATCATCCCAGCCCTCCAGCTATGATCGTGAGCTGGCCTGGGGAGGGGTCGGTGGAGGTGCAGCCCGCCCCCGTCCCGTTCAGTTCCTAACCCTCATTCCTCCTCCCTCAGGCCTGGATGTTTTTGGGGGCCTTCGCCCATCCTCCCCATCCTTGCAGCTGTTACCCTGGCGGGAGAGCAGTTTGGACGGCCTGGGTGGTCCCGGAAAGGTGAGGGGCTGAGTCTGGGTGGCAGGGTTTCTAGGCCAACGCTTCCTATACACAAAGAACACAGGACCAAGCACACTGGAGCTAGAAGGGTCTGTAGGGATCTTGAGGTTCCAAGCTCATCATTGTACAAATGAGGAAACTGAGGCCCAGAGAGGAGAATTGGGCGTGAGCAGTGGAACATCATCACCTTGTTTCTGCCCCCCTCCGCCCTTCCAGGATGGCCTCACCAGTTCCACTCTACCCCGGAATTACAAAGTCTCTCCGTTGGCCAGTGACCGGAGGACAGAGGCTTCGGGGTATCGTCGCTCCTTGGGCCCAGGGGTCCCTGGCACCCTTCCTCGAAGCTGGCAGCCGGCCAGTCGCATCGCCATGCCACCAACCAGCCCCCAGGCTCGGGGATCCCCCCGGCAGCGCCCTATCCCCCTCTCCATGATATTCAAGTTGCAAAATGCCTTCTGGGAGTACGGGGCGGCCAAGGCAGGGCCTCCGGGCTCACCCATCGTCACACGGGCTCCCCTACCCAAGTTGAGTCCCCAGGTCCCAGGCCAAGGCCCAGCCCCTCTGAGCCCGGTTCCAGCCCCACAGAGCCCAGCCCAACCTCCAGCCACTCAGCTCGTACCACCTGCTCGACCTACAGGAGGCGAAGGTGAGTACAGAATTGGGCTCCTCAGAGGGTGGGGAGGGAAGGATATTGAACCAGCCTCATATTCCAGGTTAAAGTCCTGGCTGGAGGAAATCATCATCTCTGTCAGGTGTCTGAGCCAGAGTTACCTTCTGCCCCCTCTTTCATGGGAAATGAAATTGTGCCTCATTTCCCCCTCCCTTTGTGCCACCCTCATCATCCTCAGGAAGGTTTTCTGTGTTCTCTGGGGTCCCCATTTCTCAAGCTTCAAATTCAGGAGTGCCTTCCAGAGCAGAGGAGGTGGGGTTGGCATCGAGGGGTCTCTGGTTAGGGCACAGACTCCAAGATTTCAGGGCAGGTTGGTCTCAGCATTAGGACAGGGGACAGGGGGAAGGACAGAAGAGACTAGTGAAATGGCAGGCCTGTGGGTTGTTAGCTTTATAAAGTCAGGATTGTTGAATGTTCGACCTGGGAATGAACCGGGGAATGGGGGATTTTGAGGAGGGAGTCCCTATGTCATGCTTGGTGGCTTCTTTCCTCTTGCTAGGTCCCCCCAAGTCCCCTGAAGAACCAGAGCCAGAACCAGAGCTAGAGGGGCTGCTAGCCCCAACGCTGGAGGTTGTGGAGACCGAGGAAGGGGCTGTGCCTCGGCCCCTGAGCCCCACGCGGCTACAACCCGCGCTACCCCCGGAAGCCCAGACGGTGCCCGAGCTGGAGGAAGTGGCCCGGGTGCTGGCAGAAATACCACGGCCCCTGAAGCGCCGAGGCTCGATGGAGCAGAGCCCTGGCCCAGCCCTGCCCCCCACGCACAAGAAGCAGTACCAGCAAATCATCAACCGCCTCTTCCATCGGCATGGGGGCAGTGGTGGTGGCGGCGGTGGCCCTCCCCGTGAAGGTGGCACTGGACCTGCTGGGCCTGAGCCTGAGCTGCCCCCCATCACTGAGGGCTCTGATGCACGGGCAGGGCCCCCTGCCCCAGCCCCCCCAGCTCCTACCCTAGCCCCCAGCCTGTCTGACCCACTGCCACCCCAGAGCACAGTGAGTAATGCGGGTTCTCTGCCTCCCTTCCTTCCTCCTTCTCCCAGATCAATCTCTGCCCTCAGGGCTCTCCTTCTAATCGAGCCATAGTCTTACAACCGTCATGGAACCAAAAACCATGGAATCTTAGAGCCAGCACAGAATACAAGAACCATAGAACCATAGGATTTCCGTAGCACCTAGAACCAGACTCTTAGAACCACAAAACACACTTAGAATCATGATAGGATTTTAGAACTCCCATGGAATCTAGAACCACAGATGTCTAAATCCAGTAGATTCTTAGAACCATAATAGAATTTTAAAAGAATGCTAGAATCCATAACCATAGGCTCTTAGAGCCTTCAAGATGCTTAGCATCATCATTGAATCTTAGTGCTACCAAAACAGCAGAATGGAGAACCAATGAATCGTAAAGCCGTCATAGACTCTCAGAACTACCATAGAACCTTAGCATTACCATAGTGTCTAGAACCACAGAATCTTAAATCGTGGATTCTGAAAGCTAACCTGTTCTTAGAATAATAACAGAATATTAGAGCTAACACAGAGTCGAAAATCACAGAATTGCAGAGCTATCAAAGATACTTTTTAGACTCATCACAGAATCTAGAACCACAGACTCTCAGATCCAATAGATTCTTAGAACCATAATGGCATTTTAGAAGGATAATAGATTCTAGAACCATATGGTCTTCGAGGTAGCATAGAATACAAGAACTATAAAACCATAGCACTTCCATGGTGCCTCGAACTGAAGAATCTCAGAGCCATGAGACGCTCTCAGAGTCTTGATAGAATCTCAGAACTGTCATAGAATCTAGAACCACAGAGCCCCAAATCCAGTAACTTGTTAGAATGAGAATAGAAAGCTGATAGAATCTAGAATCATACAATCTTAAAGCCATCAAAGATTCTTAGAATCATCATAGAATCTTAGCGCTGCTATAGCATCTGGACCATTAGAATCTAGAACCAGTGAATATTAGAACTGTCATGGACTCAGAACTATCATGGTGTCTAGAACTTAGAACATAAAATCTTAGAACATAGTGTCTAGAACCATATAATCCTGAACAATAGATTCTTCAAGCCAACATAGACTTTTAGAACCCTCATAGAATCTTAGAATTACATCATCTTAGAATTATCCTGAAATGTTGGAATCAGGGTAGACTTTGGGAACCATAATAGAACCTTAGACACATCTGAGACTTTTGGAAACATAGGATCTTGATACTGTATAATCTTAGTACCATCATTGAATCTAGGAGTCATGGAATCTTGAAATCATCATAGAATTTTGATACCCTACCTCTTTACAACCATGGATTCTTGAAATCATCCAAGGCTCCCAGGACTAGCCTAGAATCTTGGAATCCTAGAACTTTGCACCATTATACAATTGGAGGATATTGCAACCATTATTGAACCTTAGAACTATGGCCTCCTTAGGTTCTTAGGTTCTCAGAGGGAGGAGGGCCCTAAGAAATGGCCTGGTTATCTTCTCCCTCTCATTTTACAGGTAGGGAAACTCTGTCCCAGAGAGGGGAAAGTCACACAGTGAGTGAGTCAAGGGGCAGAACTAGGGTTAAAATCCAGGCCTTTATGTCCAGGCCACTATACTCCCGCTCCTAACTGCTAGATAGGCCTTCTCCAATACTTTTTGTCCTCCTGTTGAGGCTCTGCCTATTCTGTATCTGTCCGTTGTCCTCTCTAGCCTCTGAAGGGGGTGAGGGAGGGGATTTGTCCCAGAGGACAGAGAAGAGGGGGCAGCCAGCTCCTTTTTGATGCGACCTTCTTCTCCCACCCTAGGAAATGCGCTCAGTGCTTCGGAAGGGGGGGTCCCCCCGCAAGGCCCGCCGGGCCCGCCTTAACCCCCTGGTATTACTGCTGGACGCGGCACTCACCGGGGAGCTGGATGTAGTGCAGCAGGCGGTGAAGGAGGTGAGAGGAAGGGGGCTGGAAGGGAGGAGAAAGTGGCTGCTCTGCCCCCTTCCTCTTCTCCTCAAGGCTGACTAGACTCTGTGTCTCCCACCTTACCCTCCAGATAAATGACCCCAGCCAGCCCAATGAGGAGGGCATCACGGCTCTGCACAACGCCATCTGTGGTGCTAACTATGCCATTGTGGACTTCCTCATTGGTACTGGTGCCAATGTTAACTCCCCGGACAGCCATGGCTGGTGAGACAGGGTAGGAGGGTTGGTCAAGGGATCTCTGAGCCCCAGCTCCATTCACTTCGCTCTCTTCCTCACCACTCCTAGGGGACCACAGAGCTCTGAGGGGATTTGCCCTGGCCCCCAATCCATTGGGATGGGTTTTATATAAGAGCCAGTGCAGGACGACATGGTGGCCAGCCCTCAGCTGGTGGGCTCAGGGGTGCTGGGGAAGTGATTTTTGTTCTCGATGGCGCTTGGGTCGTACTCATTAGCACGGTCACCTCTCTGTCTCGCCCTAGGACACCCTTACACTGTGCGGCCTCTTGCAATGACACAGCCATCTGCATGGCCCTGGTGCAGCATGGGGCTGCCATCTTTGCCACAACCCTGAGTGACGGGGCCATGGCCATTGAGAAGTGTGATCCTTACCGGGAGGGCTATGCAGACTGTGCCACCTACCTGGCAGGTGAGGCGTGGGAGATGACCAGGGCGAGGGGCAGGGGCAGTTGGGGTGGAACAGGGCCAGGGGATCACGCTAACACCCACGTGCGTTAGCCCACGTCCTCGGCGTGGACCGATGTCGGCGAGTAAATAGGCAGTTATTAAGGTCAGGTTATGTGCCAGACCCTGGTGCAGTGAGAAGAGTGCTGGATTTGGAACTGGGTTTAAATCCTGGCCCCAACACTGAATGTTTGTGTGACTCTGGGTCTCAGCTTCCTTCTCTGTAAAGTGATGGGGAAGATTGCTGAGGTTCCTTCCAGGCCCGACTCTGGCCTTGTGTCTCAGAGGCCGAGCAGAGCATGGGCCATTTGTATGGAGGGGCAGTCTATGCACTCTGGGACTACAGTGCCGAGTTTGGGGACGAGCTGTCCTTCCGTGAGGGTGAACCCGTGACTGTCCTGCGTCGGGATGGCCCCGAGGAGACTGACTGGTGGTGGGCAGCCCTGCGGGGCCAGGAAGGATATGTGCCCAGAAACTACTTTGGGGTGAGCACCCAACTGGGGGGTGTCAGGTGACCTGAGTGGTTCCATTACATTGGGAGGGGGGGATGAGTGGTTCCACTGGGGGGGTTCATTATTGGGTGGAGGAATGGGGGGCTCCATTACACTGGGGAGGTAGCCAAGGGAGGTTCTGGGGGGAGGAGAAAAGGGGAGCTGCCCCTTGCAGTGGTCATTATGCAGGCCGGGGTAGAGAATGGGAAGTTCCATTACAATCTGGCAAGTGGGATAAGGAGGCACCAACCCAGACTCCCACCCACCCCAGACTCACAGTGGCCTTTGTCTTCCCAGCTGTTCCCCAGAGTGAAACCTCAGCGTGGCAAGGTGTAGGACCCCAGACCAAGTGCCAGGAGGAGCCAATGCCAACATGAGGAACTAGGGGGAATTTCTCCCCATCGCTCCTGCCAATAGCCCTGGGGACGGGGGGATGAGCTTGGATCCTGCCTTTGAGAGGGGAAGGGGCACCCTGAATTCAGTCCCCATTATTACTACCCCTCTCAGCCTCCAGCCACATGTCCAGAGCACTAACACCAGAATGGAGTGGACAGGGCTGAGCCAGATCAATCAGCTCTATCCCCCCCAAAAAAACCAACCCCAGCCAGCCCCCCATGATCCCAGAAGATATAAGGTTCCCTCAGCCAATGCACACAGCACCAGTCTCAAATGAACTCTGACCCATGCTGTCCTCTGCTCTCCTTCCCACCAGCAGCCTTGGGGGTTGGGGGCGTAGTAACCTCCCCCCTTCTCCCCCCAGACCAAGTGCCTCAAGTCTTGTCTGGTCTCTGTTTGTAATTAAATAGGAAAAATAAAAATCCTTTCTAATTAAAGGTACTTTGTGCAGCTGTCTTTCAGCCCTGGTTACTACTGACCATCTCCCATGATCTCCCAGACTAGCCCCTCCAGAAATCCCTCCCACTGGCCCACCCAGATCTTTCTCCATCCATCCCAGCAGAGAGAATGCCCAAAGGAAAGGGGGCTGGGAGTGGGTAGTGAAGGATTTCTCAGTTGCCAGAGGAGATGTGTAGCAAAGAGCTGGAAGGAGCCAGGGCTGGCAGGCTCCTCCTGGGACCAGGGAAAGGGAAGCCCAGAGATGACTTTCCTCAAATCCGGCCAAGCAGCATTTACTACATGCTTCCTCTGTGCCTGCAAACACCAGTCCCTGCTCTGAGGAGCTCACGGTTCAGTGGGAGAGACAAGCGGCAACATCTAGGAGTGTCCCCCTGGCCGGCAGGGCAGAGCCGCGGCTCAAAGCTGGCTGGCTGTGTTGTGAAGGGAGACTTCACCAGGCTCCTGATATGCTCTGCCTGAAGTTCCTTCCTCGCTCTGGCCTTTTATGCGCTAAGGTTACTCTGAGCCTGAAAAGTTTGTGTTCTAATGTCCTTAACTAGAGCCGGAAGAAGCCATCTGGTCTGACTCCTACAGATGAGAAAACTGAGACCCATAGAGGTTAAGTGGCTTGCCCCAAATCACACATGTGAGATCAGAAGTAGTGATTGTAACCCAGGCCCCAAGCTCCACAGCTACCGTTCTTTGCACTGTGCTGGCCTCGGAGTCAGGAGGACCTGGGGTCAAGTCTCAGCTCTGACACAGGCTTGTTCTGCCCTGTTCCTCCTCAGAAATTCCTTTCTTGGGAACAGCTAGGGGGCGCAGTGGATAGAGCACCAGCTCTAGAGTCAGGAGGACCTGAGTTCAAATCCGACCTCAGACACATAACACTCACTAGCTGTGTGACCCTGGGCAAGTCACTTAACCCCAATTGCCCTCACCAAAAGAAAAAAAAAAGAAATTCCTTTCCTGCCCTAGAGAAACTTCTATCCTGGGGGAGCCTTTTCCTTTCATCTTTTCCCACTCTTTCCTCCAGTTCTGGACCATGAACAAGGATCAAATGAGTTCTGCCATTGTTCACGGATGGGATGTGTCAATCTACTCCCCACTTACCATCCTAGTGCCTTTCTGGGCCAAAGTGTCCCTCTCAGGGCACCACTCCTCTTTGGAGGTTGACTTCTCCATTAGAATGTAAGTATTTTGAGGACAGGGACTGTCTTTGCTTCTTGTATTTGTATCCCCAGCACTTGGCACATAGTAAGTATCTAATAAATGCAATTTCATCGACTGATTGATTTTTACTACAAATTGCAGAGAAGGTACCTGCACTGTATTAATTGAGGAAGGTCGCTGGGAACTTCTGAAGCTAATGAACTCACAGATCCAGTCCATATCCCTAATGTGCTTGACATTTCTGACATTCCCTGTTCTCAGGCTCCTCCGAGCCCTGACATCCCCTGTTCTGAGGGCCCTCCCAGCTCCGACATCCCCTGTTCTGAGGGCCCTCCCAGCTCTGACATCCCCTGTTCTGAGGGCCCTCCCAGCTCTGACATTCCCTGTTCTAATGGCTCTCCTAACTCTTCACATTCCAGGTTCTGACATTCTCTGTTCTAAGGTTTCTCCCCACCCCCACCCCAGCTGACATTCCAGGATCCTTTAAGGTCTAAGACTCTATTACAAGAATGAATGGCGATCGATTCACTCGGCCTTCTCCATTCCCGACGCGCCTGCGCTGCAGTCAGGGAGCGATTAAGGATGACTGCCGTCACTCCAAACTAGTCCCTTCTCACCTCCCTAACCCACCCTCGTGCGCACGCGCGCTCTTTGCTCCTTCCCGGTTAGAGCCCCGCCTGCACAGAGTGCGCCGTGCGCTTAGCCAATGAGAAGAGAGAGCCCCCGAAGGTTCCTGGGCTTAGTTCCTCTCTGCATATTCATGAGGGGGCGGGGCCTCACCTTAGGGACGCTGTGGATCCCGCCATGAAGTAGGACAGGGAGCCGCGCGTGGGGGTTCAGTGGAGGGTGCTAGCGGTGGGGGGATGGGGGGATGAGAAGCGGGGCGGGTGGGGGGGTGGGGGGATGAGAAGCGGGGCGGGTGGGGGGCGCCTGGGCAGGGCAGCCCGGGGGCGCGGAGGGTAGGCAGGGGGCTGGACCTGCAGTCAGAAAGAACTGGGTTCGAATGGGTCCTCAGAAATGTAGGAGCCGGCTGATCCTGAGGGAGTCATTCGCCTGTGTTGGCCTCAGTTTCCTCATCCGCAAAATGGGGGTATTGGTCTCTAGGGGCTCTGCGGCTTCTTCCAGCTGGAGATCCGGGGGGCGGGGGTGGAGAGTCGCCGGCATAAACTCGAGTGGGACGGCTGGGGCACTGGAGGCGTAACTGCAGGCAGTCAGTGAGCATTTATGCAGCGCCTACTGTGTGCCGGGCACCGTGCTAGGCGCTGGGGATACAAAGACAGGCCCCGCCCTCGAGGAGTGCCCTGTAATGGGGGAAACCCAAGCAGGCCAATGTGTGCACAGCCCCTCTAGACGGGGTCAGTGATTGCTGGGGGCGGGGGGGGGGGGCTTTCTATAGGAGTGCAGGGCTGGTTGGGACCTGGAGGACGCCGGGGAGGAGGGAGGGCACCCCAGCCAGCCGACCCGGTCCTTCTCTGGGTCTCAGTTTCCCCGTTTGTAACCCGGGGTCTGTAACCTTGCTTTTCTAAAGGTGGGAGGGGGGCTGGGGCAGGAGGGCACTGAATGCGGAGCAGAGCACCTTGGGCCTACTCCTGGAGGCCTCTGGGAGTCAGTGGAGTTTACTGGGGTGGGGGGGGCGATAGGGCCAGACTGAGCTTTGGGGAAATCCCTTTGGTGGCCAAATGAAGATGCAGGGAGTGGGGGGAGATCCAGCGCGGCAGACCCCCCCCCCCCCAGCAGTCCAGGTGGGGGGCAGTGTGGCAGCAGAGATACAGCAAAGGTCACATTGAGGCGCTGGTGACCCTTTAGACATGCCCGGGGTCCAGGGGGACCCCTAAGCTGGGAGCCTGAGTTGGGGGCCTGGCGGTGCCCTCTATAGCAATGGGGTGCAGGGGGAAGACGGGGTGTCCAGTCCGATGTGTTGGGTTTAAGAGTCCGCCAGCCCCCCGGCTCATGGTGTGTGAAAAGCAGTGGGAGGTGCCAGCCTGGAGTGTGAGCAGGGTAGTGTAGACTTCTACAGAGAAACTTGTACAGAGAGGAGAAGAGGGCCCAGGACAGCACGGGGACCCCAGGGTCAGAGGGCGTGATCTGGAGGAGGAGCAGTCAGAGAGGCAGGAGGACAGCCGGGAGAGGGGATGTCCAGAAAGCCTACACAGGAGGGGGGAGGACCCGCAGAGGGGCCAGACCAGGGGTCCCTCCCAGGGCCCGGGTCATTGATGCACCTTCCCTCCCCTAGGCTGAATGTCGATGGGCTCCTGGTCCACTTTCCCTATGACTACATCTACCCCGAACAGTTCTCCTACATGCTGGAGCTCAAGCGGACCCTGGATGCCAAGGTACCGGCCCCCTGCAGAGCCCAGCTCCTAAGCCTTCATGCGTTTAAGCACATTGCTCTGAGGAGGGGTCAGCAGGCTCCCTCAGCCTGCCGGGGTGGTCCAGGCACAGCGAGAGTAAGGACCCCTGGGCTCGAAGCTGTCTGAGGGCAGCCACTGGGCACAGTGACGAGAGTCAGGAAGACCCGAGTTCAAAGCCAGCCTCAGACACTGGCAGTGTGGCTGGGCAAGTCACTTAGCCAGCCTCAGTATACATAGCAGGTGCTTAATAAATGCATTTTTCCTCCTAAGGGCCTTTCTAGCTGTAACTTTCTGTGTTCTGAGGTTTTGATTCTTCAACTTGTAATATTTCATCGTGCTCAGATTCAAACACTGTGTTTGTAAGATGATCATGTTTCTTGGGGGGGTGGGCACACACAGGGTCATGGGGTCCTCGAGATGCCCTCGGGAACTGGCAAGACCATCTCCCTCCTGGCCTTGATCGTGGCATACCAGCGGGTGAGGCAGTACTTGGGTCTGAGGTGGGGGAAAAACTGGGGGTGGAGGTGGGAATTGGGGTGGCGGGTCTGAGCTGGAGAGTGGGCTGATCCCTTCCCCTGCTCCCCGATTTGTGAGCAGGTTCACCCCCTGGAAGTAACCAAGCTCATCTACTGCTCAAGGACTGTCCCTGAGATTGAGAAGGTTGGTCTCTGGTGAAGTCAGGGGCCTCTTTGGTCTGGGCCACCAGTAAGCCATTCCCATGACTGTTTGCAGTTTCCTGGGCCCGGGGAGTGGGGATGATTTGGTGCAGCCCATCTCTGCTGCTGGGAGGCAGGCCGGGCCCCTGGGCTGGGCAGTGGAGACAGAGAAGACCCAGTCTTGGCTGAGAAAGGGGGCCTTCAACCGCTCTCTCCTCCTCTCCTCCTTCCCTGAGCCAGGTGATTGAGGAGCTCAGGAAGCTGATGGACTCCTATGAGAAGCAGGAGGGAGAGAAGGTGCCATTCCTGGGCCTGGCCTTGAGCTCCCGGAAGAATCTGTGTATTCACCCGGAGGTGAGGGACTCTGAGCCTCGGGGTGGGAAGGGGAGGAGGGGCCAAAGGGTGGGGATTCCACTTCCACTGGGGCACTTTGTGGTCTTGGGCAAGTTGGCTTCCCCACACTGGGCCTCAGTTACCCCATCTGTAAAATCAAGAGAACAGGACTAGACAATTTCTCAGGACTCCTCTAAGTCTGATTTGTCTTCTGAGGTTCTGTTCAACTGGAGCATTCCTTGTTCTAAGGACCCTCCCTCTTCTAAGGGCCCTTCCACTCTGACATTCCCTGTTCTAGGGCCCCTCCCAGCTTTGTAATTTCCCTGTTCTAAGGGCCTTCCCAGCCCTGACATCCCCTGTTCTAAGGCCTCCCCTAACTCTCACATCCCATTTTCAAAGGGCCCTCCCAGCTCTGAAATTTCTCTGTTCTAAGGGCCTTCCCAGACCTGACGTCCCCTGTTCTAAGGGCCCTCCCAGCCCTAACATTCCCTGT